TTTTTTGGTCATTTTCTTTTTTAAATGTTTTAGAAATGTTTCAAGTTTTTGTTGAAAACCCAGAAACCCCCAACTGTGCTTCAATTGCTACAATCTCAAACAGCTGCAGTTTGCAGGGGGAGGGGGACAACGTGGAAGATTTTGACAAAAATTAACAATTTTTGTGAACATTTCTGGCTTTGCAAAAAAAAAAATGTGTGTCAAAAAGTTTGGCTGGAGAATTTTTGCCCAGATCTAATGAACTTTCTCTTTCTTTCTTTCTTTCTTTCTTTCTTTCTTTCTTTCTTTCTTTCTTTCTTTCCCACGTGGCTCACACTGGGCCCTGGGATTTTATTTATTTTTTTTTGGTGCAAGAACAATTGCAAAGCCCAGGCTGTTCCTTTCCTTAGTTTCTCAGTTCAGATGCAAAATTTCCACAGCCTGGTGGGACTTTTGGTGGCGCATTTGGTCACGCTTTTCGGAGTCTTTTGCCCCCTGGAGGCGGTGGGATGCATGACAGCCTGTGGATGTGGGGGGTGACGGGGGAGATAGACACTGCCTTTCTTCCATGCTAGTTTTGTCTTGTCTAGTTAGCTGGAGAGCTCTTTGGGCCTGGGGCTGGCGCAATGAGGCCCTGGTCGAGTTATTAGCTTGTATTGCTGTAGCACCGAGGAGCTCTGGAATCCCATTGTGCATGGAGCTGTACAAACCTGGACTGGGCGCTGCCAGTTGCAATCGGGCTATTGGGGGGTACTTACTATGCACAAGGAGGCTGAGGGAGGAAGGCAGACCCTGGACTGTTTTGGAAGGTGGGAAAAGGGCTGTTGAAACGCGGGATTATGACTGGGGGTGAGGGGATGGTGGGACGATGTGCAATGCGTAGCTCTCTCTAATGGGGGGTTGGTCATGCTGTGGGGTCCCCAGGGGGACTGTGCCGGCCTATGGAGGAGGTGCCTTGAGGAACCAGCCCTGGGCATGGGGCTGATGGACCTTCGTGGGTGCTAGGGAGAAATCCAAGCAACGTGTTTGCTCAGTGCTGACCTTGACCTCTCCCCAGAGGAGCCTCTGCGACGGGCTGAGACCTTCAGCTGGGGACATGCCAGCCAGCAGCCAAAACACGGCCCAGCCAATGCTCACTGCTCCCACCGGGCCCAAAGCGCTGCCGGGAAGTGTTTACATCTCGCTCCGAACAACAGGACCCCAGCACTCAGCAGGCAGATATGGGGCAGCTCCCACCCCGCCCTTCCCTCTGCTAGGGCAGGCTGGCAGCATGAAGCTCCAGGCCATGGGACAGTCCTGCAAGGGCTCCCCTCTGGCCTTCCCCTACCCCACAGCTACACCACCTCCCCCGACTACCCAATTCCCTGGGCATCAAATAGCCTTCCTGGCTCCTGGGCAACCTAAATGGCCTGACTAGCTGGCAGGTAGCCTCATGGCTGGTGTCATTCTGGGAGTGACAGCGGGGCAAGCAGATGCCATGCCAGGAGCAACATGGGCATACGCACTGCCATCATCTCATCACTTAGTTCTTGGTGAGCTCTGGGCAGACGCCAGGTCTGGCAGCCCTGGAGACGGAGCCTGCTACATACCCCTTGAGCGGGAGGCCAGCATGAGCTTCCCCCGCCCGGCTTGCCTGGAGCAACCCCTCCGTGGGTGGAAGGAGACCAGTGGCCTGGGAAAGGATGGACCAGGACTCCCGACTCGGGTCACCCAGGCCCCTGGAAGTTGGCATGTTGCAACGACTTCACGGCGACTGCTGAGCAGGGCTTAGATTTGAACCCCACTCCTCATCTTCGCTAGCCCTTTCCTGAGCATGCAAGGAACTGCCGCAATCCAGAGAGGACAGATCTGCCTACACAGCTGCTTCCACCCTGCCCCCAGTTCATTGCTTTCCCATCCCCGAGCCTGTGTTTCCCTTGGAGTGCAGCACTGGGCGTGGCGATGCTAGTGGCCGAGGGATGAGTGCAGAGGTATCGATGTGACCCGGCAGCCCCCGGCTGGCCGCAGGACATGCAGAAAGGTGGGAAGCGCGCAGCACCATCCACTGCACAGCACTTGCTATTCTTGGCAGCGCTGGGTGGAAAATTAGAAGCATCAAAAGAATTTTGTTTCCTTTGGCTGGGCCAAAGCCAGGCAGCTGGGCCACAGCTGAGCAAGGAGGAGGCTGACAGATTCCATCATCCACCTCTAAGCCGATGGCCAATGACTTGGTCTGTGGGATCTGTGACCCCCCCCATGAAATCATTGCACCTGAGCAGGCTCCTCCATGCATTCTATGTCGCCTTCGCGCATGCTGGTTCTGCTGCATACGTACCCCATTGGGTATATAGGTGCTCTGCTGGGCCATCGCTAGAGGCCTTGGCTTGTCAGCTCATGTTATAGTGACTGGAGATCCCAGGTTCAATCCCCACCCTCTAAAGCAGCCCCTGCAGGAGCCAACCAGAGGAAACGGGACCGAGCTCCTGGTGTCTCCCAACAAACAGGGACCATTTGCCCCCCGTCGTTTCTGCGCCAGCAGGCGGGGTGGAGAGCCATGGAGCATCCTCCCAGCTCAGCAGGACAATCTCTATCCTCTGGTGTTGCTAGAGAGCTTCTCCCGCCTTCCTCCTTTGGCCCAGGAGAGCAATCAGGAGGCGCCGAGCTCCATGGACTCCTTGCCTGAACACTTGGGGATGGAGGTGGACAGCTGCTGTGCCAGCATTGGGTCCACAGCGTTGGGCACAGCCATACAGCCACTGACATTGCAGGGGATCCTACAAGCAGCAAGGAGCATCCATGAGCTGAGAGGCCAATCTCCAGGGAAAATGTCCTCACTGTGTCAGCCTATTCACATCCTGGGCTTCTGCCCAGCTCTGCTGATGCCCCTGAGTCCTGCCAGCAGCCCCATCTGCACAGCCTGGCCTGGGCTGAGACTGCACTAATTCTGTGCAGCGGATCAATATTCCCCCGGATTGGATGGACCTGAGCCCTCAGGCCCGCCACTCAACAAATTCCCACCCAGCTGCTAAATCCCCAGTACCCCCCATGGGTGAACCCACGGAACAACAGCCCTGAAGGCCAGCGCCCCACAGCCTGGGGAAAAGCCGTGTCTCGGAGAGGAAGGGAAACAGAAACCCACCAAGACGCTCACGTGGCATCTGCCTGTGGAGCCCAGATCCGCAGCTTCTCCAAAGATGGGGGTGTCTGGTCTCTGTCCCCTCCCCCCCCAATATAGGGCACAATGTCTGGTCCTAGATCAGAACCAGAGTTTGAGCGTTTTAATCCGACTCAGGCCTGTGCCTACCCCACATGGGAGCTGCAGTGGAGGGGACCAGGACTGAAGGAGGCGTTCCCTGCGTGGCTGGGCAGTGGGGGTGTGATGGGGGAAGGGCAGAACTTAATTTGTAATGAAATAGGGGCTGGGGTTCAAGCAATTTTTTTATTTTCATAACTAACACGGCAAGCCCAGGGGCGCCGGGGCTGTGAACTGCCAGGCTCGGCGGTGCCGGCCCGGGGCTGTGAACTGCCGGGCCCTGAGGTGCCGGGGCTCTGAGCTACCAAGCCCAGAGGTGCCGGGGCTCTGAACTGCCAGGCCCAGAGGTGCCAGGGCTCTGACCTGCCAGGCCCAGAGGTGCCGGGGCTCTGAACTGCCAGGCCCAGAGGTGCTGGGGCTCAGCCCTGGCACAAATTAAGCACTGGGAAAAGGCGTCCTGTCCCTGCTCTGGATGGTCCCCCATCAGTCTGAAGACGGGTGCAGGCAGGGAGGGGTTGGGAAGAGGCAAGGCGTGCATGGGGAGCAGAAATGTGCTCAAGGTCACTGCACTTGGATGGTTCCGTCCCGCAGCTGCAGGCCTGCCAGAGCCATTTTGGCCCACACACATCCCGGAAGATCCGGGGCAGGCGAGGATTCAGGGCGAAGGTGGCGCACAACCCGGGGGCCTGGCCATGCTCCAGGGACTCTCTGGCCGCTGCTCTGGAGTTCTTGGGAGGAGACAAGACTGGGCCCCTCTCTTTGCCTGTCACCCCCCTTCCTTCCCCCAAGGATCACACAGGGAGCCCCAGGCACAGCCATGGGGCTTGGCCAAGGAGGGGGCTGGGTCATGGTGGCTCTGTGGGCAGCTATGGCTGTGCGGAGGGGCGGCTGCCAGCCCTTGGGGCACCGGCAAACAACCTGTTCTGCAGGATGCTGCGGCGAGCAGGGTGGGGGAGGGTCGGCTCCCGCCTTGGACAAAATGCTGGTTGCAGTGGCCAGGTGCTGCCCGGAGCCAAGGAGTGAGCCACTCGCAGCCCATGGGGTGGCAAATGGGCCCTGAGACCCTTTCCTACCCCTTTTGCTTCCCAGGATAAGGGCAGGAGCAAGTGCAGGGATCAGGGCCTTGGTGTGTGAGGGGCCCTGCTGGCAGGAGCATGGCTGTGCGTGGGGGTGGGAGAGATGGGGGGGTTGTGTGGGATGGAGTGTAGCAGGGGTGTGAGGGATGTGTGTCTGGGAGGAGCTGCATGCTGGGGATGTGTGTGGGGGAGGGCTATGTATGAGGTGGATAGGTCTTGGGGGTGCATGATGAGGGAGCAAGGGGGTGTTGGGGTGTATGGTGTGTGGATGTGTATGATGATGAGCTATGTGTGCATGCCGGATGTGAATATGAGGACAGGAGGTGCTCTGCAGGTACAGGAGGAGGGGTGTCAGGGGTGCATTGAGGGTACAATGTGGGGTGTGGGGGTGCAGGAGGAGGTGAGCGCTAGGGGATGCCCTGGAGGTGCAGGGGATGCGCTGGGGGTCGATGAGGGTGTGGGGGTGCACTGGGGTACAGAGGTGTGTGCTGGGGACGATGAGGAGTGTGAGGGTGTGCTGGGGTGCAGGAGGAAGGGTACACTAGCGGGTGCGATGGGGGTGTGGGGTGCCCTGGGGTGCGATGAGGGGTGTGGGGGTGCAATGGGGTACAGCAGGAGGGGGCGCTAGGGGGTGCCCTGGGAGTGCAGGTAGGTGCGCACGCCCTAGCTTTACAGCTCGGCAGGGCCCCAGCCCGCTGCCCAGGGAGCGTTTCCCCCTCCGCCCCTGCAGCCTGCGGGCCGGGCAGCGCCCCCTTTAAGCGCCGGGAGGGAGCCGCCCTGCCTGTGGCTGCGCTGGGCGCTCCCCTCCCCTTGGCCCCGCCGGTCCCCGGGGTTGGAGCCAGCAGCAGCAGTCGCCGCGGAGGCGCAGGCCGGGTTCGAGGAGCGGCGCCGAGCGCACGGCAGCCTGGGACTCCAGCTGCGTCCTGCCGGCTCCTTCCAGCGCCCCGAGCCCGCCCCTGCTGCCCTGAGTTCGGGGGCCCGCGGCGAGTCAGGTTGGTTTCCCTCCTTCCCGGTCCACGCGGGCTCTGCAGCGCTGCCTGCCCCAGGGGCGGCCACAGGCGGGAGGCGCAGCCCCGATTCGGGGCGCCAGGGAGGGCCCGGGCTGGACGTCCTCCTCCCTCTGCTGTAGCCCTCTTGGGGTTCCCCCAGGCGGGCGATGGGTCCCTGCCGGCCAGCCCTGGCGCAGAGGCAGCGCTCGGAGCAGGTGCTGCGGACGGAGCCTTTCCCCAGAGCCGCTGGTTTCCTACTCCTGCGGGGCGGTGGACGCCACGGTGAGGGGCGCGAGGTGGCTCAGCACGGAGAGGATTGGGCGGGGAGCAGCGGACGGAGAGATCCTGGGGGGTGCAGAGGGACCATGTGTGGGTGCTGCGGGGAGCGATGGCGAGGCGTGTGGTGTAGTGGTTAGAGGGGACCGGGGATGGACGTCATAGAATATCCCTAAATGGCCCTCTCAAGGATTGAACTCCGGACTCCTGGGTTCTATTCCTGGCTCTTGGAGGCGGTGTGGGTGCAGGAGCTAGGGACTGAGGAGACCTGGTTTGAATTCCCAGCTCTGTCCTTCCTGTGTGAGCCTGGGCAGTCACCCCACTCCCTGTCTCAGTTTCCCTGGCTGTGCAATGCAAGTGCCCCATGTACAGCACTTTGAGTTGAGCGCCTGTTAGGGCTGGATCCGGTGTGCGTAGGGGTAGGGGCACAGAGTCCGGGATCAGACTGGGGCTACCAGTCCCTCCTGGGGGCTGGGGCTGAGGCAGAGATGTCAGAGCCAGGTGCTCCGGCCTTCAGGGCTGTACAATGCAGTTAAGTCTCTTAGGAGAGTGACCGGCTTTCCCAGCGTCAGCACTTCCCTAGGCAACTCCCGAACCAGGCTTGGGGGGATGGGACAGAGACAGGCCCAGGGGTGAGCTCTGTGATAGATACAGGCTCTGCCTGTTGCTCCCCCATTTCAGTGCCACCCCTCTCTCTGACAGTGCTGTAGTACTGAGGGGCCTGGATGCCAGGGGATGGTGAGGGGGCTGGAGGGAGCAGAGGGCCCCAGCACCCCCTGCCGGCTCCCAGCAGTGATCTGGCGTGTCCAGTGTGGAAAAGGCTGTTTGGGCAAGAAAACTGGGTCCCCAGGGGCTGATTCTGGCAGATCTAGGGTCTGAGCAGGTGTGTCGGGGGAGGCGGAGGGGAGAGTAGCTTAACTCCCTGCAACCCCCCTGCTGTCTACAGTGTCCCCCCGTCCCATCATTCTCCTCCCCCAATCTGGTGGCAGGCCTCTGGGGAAGGCACAGATGGCTGGTCTTGAGGCGTTTGGGGCTGGGAGCCATGCTAGTGCAGAGGAGGGGGCTGCAGGGGCAAAGCAGGAGGGGGAATGCAGTGGGGGTGGGGGCTAGATAGTGGGCGAGGCTTCTAGGGTAGAGCCAGGGCACCTGCAGAGAAGGCAGGATGCCCTCCACCACAGCCATCGCCCCCAGTCTCCAACCTCCCATCCAGCAATGCCATGTACTGCCTTGCTGGCCTTGATTCCCTTCCTCCTGCTTCCCCCAGAGCAGGCGGCTCGTCGAGGGGTCTGTCCCAGGCCCAGAGGGGGGCGTTTTTAAGCATGCTGGGTTCACAGTTGCACCCAGTGCTGGCCTTGACAACCAGCAGCTCGTGTGGGCTCTGGGGTGAGGGGGCAGGACTGTGGCCTTCCCAGCTGACTTCTATTTTGCCTGTCACCCGATCCCATAAAACACTTTTACAGCCTTTCAAGTGTACAGCAGTTCGCAGGCTGGCACCGGCCCGAGCCCCGCCAGCCAGCCACAGCCTCACTGGAGTTTGCTTTAAAGGGACAGCGTGCGTCCTTTGGCCAGTGGGGAGCAGGGAGCACATCCTGTGAGAACAGCACTGTCTCGGAAAGGAGCAACGTCTCAGGGGGTGTCCCGCCACCCTCCAGGAAACTGGACTGGAATGGGAGGTGTGTGTGACGCCTCACTCCTCTGTTCTCACGGGAGAACAAGTGTCACCTAGCTGGATTATTCTGCACTCTGTATTGCTGTGGTGCCCACACAGGCATTACCTGCTCGATGGAATGCGTGTTATTCTGGTCAATCAGTAACGAGACCTTCCATTTCTCTAGGGAATTATATCAAAGTCCATCCATCCATCCCCATACACACACACCCATCCATCCATCCATCCCCGTGCGCACACACACCCATCCATCCATCCCCCGTACACACACACACATACATACATACCCATACATACCTGTCCATCCCTATACATACCCTTCTATTTCTCTATCCCCCTTCAGACCCACCTACCATCAAAATGCAGCTGCCTCTGTGGAACAACACTACTCAATGGGGGGGCGAGTGGTTTTTTTCATGGGGGCAGGGAGTGAAGAAAATCTTCCCCACCAAGGAGGCAGAACTGGAATGTGGTTTGGCTGGGACACTGGGATTAGCACTTACAGGATCACAGGATTTTTTGTAATGACTGCGATGGGCTGTTAGTCATGGCAGAGGGCTAATGAGTGCTCACAGATCTCGCAGCAGGGTTTCTTTGGGAATGGGCAGTGATTCTATCCTCTAGGGGCAGTTTAGTCGCCCACCCACACATGCCATGCTGAGAAGCTGTTGACTCCTGTGACTAAGGACACAGCTGGGCACAGGGTGAGAAGCTGGCAGCATGCTCTGAGCCTTCCCTATCTGGCTAAGGACCATTGACACCTGCCTTGTGTAGGGAGGTGAACGCCACCTGTGCAGGGAAGTGGGAGATGTGTTGGCAGGTATTTTCGTGGGGTGCTGGCTGGAGGCTGCAGTGGGTGGCGGCTGGCCAGGAAAGGAAGATGCTAAGAGGTAACAGTAATTGTAGTTTTGTTATTTCTCGGTTCTCCCCTGCTACCTGCAGCTCCTCTTGGTCTGTAAGTGTCATGACCCCATGCCCCACAGTGTTCCTGAAGAGGTCAAATCAGGCTCTTTCCAGCACTGACCTGTGCTGCGCTGCCTCCCCTCCCCCGGCAAATTGGCCCCCTGCAGCTTGACCCATGGCCAGTCGCTGTTATGGCTGGTGATGGCCCTGCAGACAGTTTTGGGTCCCCCTGGCCGCATGTCCTCAAGCTGATTTGAATTAATTGTTCAGTCTGGGGTTCTGAGAGTCACAGGGTCCATCACTGGAGAGAAACCAGGACCTGCCACATTTCTTCCCACGCCCCCCTGCCTTTTCCTAAAACTGTGTTTTCACTAGGAATTTATAGTGTGGACAGATCTAGAGGTCACAGCTCGACCAGCCCCCGCTGTGCCAGGCGCTGTACAAACCTGGAAGAAGCTGCCAGGCTAAAAGACAAGACCTTGATGATTCAATTTCAAGCTGTCCAGCATGATCGGGGGTGGATTGTTTGGTTTTGCAGGGGCAGGGGAGTTGTTTAGCTAATGAATGTACCATGGGGTTATGCAATTAATCCCGGGGGCAAATGACCCTCCCCCCAGCTCCAGTATGAAAGTGACCGGATGATGTTCAGAGCTGTCGGCATGCTCGCCTGCGTCTGCCGCTAACCAAAGCTGCTCTCGGCTTCACCAGAAATGGGGCATGAGCTAAGGCGCGCCTCTGCTGATTTCATGGGGTGTTAGATTGGGCCCGGGGACAGCCGAGCCATGAAAAGTCAGATGTGACTCTGAGGCGGCAGCCAAGTGTTTTGATGCATCTCAGCCCCCGTGTGACTGGCCTACCCAGACTCCCAGATCGGGAGCTGGTTCCCATCTTGTTCCGGTTTTGAAGGGTCAGATGCTGTGGGGGGAGGCTCCCCCCAAGAGCTGCAGGGGGCCCCTGCATCCCAGGGAGTCACTGCCGTGCCATCTCCATGACTATGGGCAGAAATTACAGGCTTCCTTCCCCAGCAGTGACGCTGGCCTCTCCCCGGGCTCCGGCGCTGAGCTCTCCTGGCTGCCATACCGGTGCTGCGAGCCTCAGACCCGCGGTGCGGGCACATCCCCCGATGGCTGCAGACATTGGCTGGGCTGGGGGACTGAAAAGCAGGCGCCCCTGTGGCTGAGATGCTAGGGCCCTTGCAGAGCCGATTTATGCTTTGCACGCGTCACCTGAGGCAGATCGTGGCTCGCCGGCTTGGTCAACTGGTGGGGGTTGCACATTGCTCTGGGATGGGCAGCAAGCTGCATCTCTTACCTACAGTCCACAGGTCCTAGCCCTGGACCCCTGAGAGCAGCTTCCAGGCAGTGAGGGCACAGATTGATCTCCAGCATAGCAGCCACGTCTTCAGCCCAGGGCATGGAATGGCCTCCAGGCGGCAGGGGGTCGTGGCGCATGGCACAGATGGCGTGATGCAGCATCGCAGTGCTGGGCCATGGTGATTTGATTCCCTGAGCAAAAGCCACGAGGTGGCCACCTGCCTGCCCAGCAGCCGCTTCACTAGGCTCAGCCCTGCCTGGCAGAGGAGAAAGATGTTACATATGTATAGATGTTACCTTCCTAAGTACTGGAACCAAGGAGTCCTGGTGCCCAGGCCCCTGCTGTAACCACTACACTACACTTCCCAAGCAAGAGATGGGGATAGGTCCCAGGCTCCCAGGAGTCCTGGCTCCCAGCCCCACAAATCTCCTCTCCCTCCCAGAGCTGGGGAGAGAACCCAGGAATCCTGACTCCCAGCTCTCCCCCCGCCCCAGCAGGCAGCTCCCGGCACTGCGGCCTGCCCAGTGCCTCCGCAGCTGGCTAACTGCACCTCCGTGTGTGAGCCCTGATGACTTGGGCTGCCCCCGCCCAGTCCAGGGAACTGATGCTATGGGAAAAGAGGCCGTGTTTTCTTGGCCGTCTTCTCCTTCTCCTCCAGTCGAAGGAGGCAGCTGCTTCCAGGCAATTGCATGGGGGAATTTTCTGCTTTTTGATCTAAAGCGAAGCGCAAGCTGCTTTGGCTGGAGCAGCCCAGCCCGGCGGGGTGTGGGACAGCAAGCGTGGAGGGGAACAGAATCCATTCCAGGGGGCTCAAGAATTCAGATCCAGTGGTGTTTCTCAC